AATTTCGGCCCGGCCGAACTTACTGCTATTTACTTGTTGAATTGACTGTTTTTGATGTTATAGCGAATATAGCGATCTTACTGTCCGTTATGACGTTTACGGTAGCCGGTCTCGTGTTATCATTAAGCCAGTTCGCCCGGACTTACGCTTGAATGATTCTTCAATAAAAAAGTCTCAGTCTACCTCTTTCCCTAGCAGTGAGCCATCTGTACAACAGCAGTTGGCGATAGGAATCCGCCAACCCACTAGTAGGAATTAATGTTTCATATGAGTCAGCTACAATTTATTCAGGTATCGGTCCGATACAAAATTTACCATTGAATCTCCCTTTGTCACCTGTAAAATTTTTTGATGGTATGTAACGTGTCCTTTACTTATCAACCTGTCCGTCGCTCTGAGCGTTAAGGCCACGACTTCCACTTCGTACCGTATATGAATATCTATTAAGTGTACATATATAATCGTCTCTGAAGTCCTAGTGGGTGCTGTCCTCATTGCACCGCAAATACTTTGGATTGAAACCCCATTTGAGCCTATAGCCCTTTTGCTTACTTTGCTCTTTCTTGGTTGTGGTCTTTCTAATTAAGTTTCACACCCAGATATTTAACCTTATTTGAAATGTTAATTTTCTAGAACAGAAAGACTGGTTCATCGATGTGTTCCAGTTTTCTTTTACTACTGAAGAGACATATCCCATATTGAAGAGCTTAAAACCAGTAAAGAAAGTCTAAATGTCGAGCGGGCCGACTTTGGGATACCCTACACCCCTTTGCATATTTAGTAGAGCTTCATATAAGAAATAAAAAAAATACAACAAATCGGATGAACAATATATAGGTATTTCTGAACTGATTTTCAATAAATTTGACATACTTGTTTCTAGGCTCAATTTGGTCGTAAGTGTCAAGTTCCATGCCATTTGGGCTAATGATACACGTTTGGTGCGCAATAAAAGGCAAATCGGACGAAGATATATGTATATGGGAGCTGTATCTCCTCGTCCTTGTGTAACGTGCTGATTTCATCACGTACATTTATACGAACAGACAACCGTACCTATTACACAATGAAAACAACAACAGCGGCCACTGCAAGTGAGAACAACAACAGCGACCACTGCAAGTGCGACGCTAACAGCACCAACCAACCACCACCACCAACATGCACACACGACTCGGTCATACGCAGCCAGCAAGGCGACAACAGCACTAGCCAGCAAACGCAGCATTCATTGGGCGCGTGGTGAACAAAGTAGTTTTCGGTGGTGTGCTGTTCACAGCGTAAGGCTAAAAATTCGCAATGACTTGGTAGAACCGGTCACATATAGTGTTCGGTTTGAGGTGCGATGAAGGAGGGCTCGCTACTGCAAGAGCTTGCCAAAGGGTAGCTAGTGATTTTTCTAAAGATCATCGGCCGTCCTCCGACTAATAAAAGCGTTAGTCGGAAATACTTTTCCAAGACTGGCTCTCATTAATTTGAGTGCTGGTAATTCATTTACACAGGAGTCTCGGCTCGCTGTTCCACAGGAGCTTCGGCTCGCTGTTCCACAGGAACTTCGGTTCGCTGTTCCACAGGAGCTTCGGCTCGCTGTTCCACAGGAGTTTCGGCTCGCTGTTCCACAGGAGTTTCGGCTCGCTGTTCCGTATTGTAGTCAAACGTTGGTAGTGGAGTAGACGTAGTTAGAGAATCGTAGCTAGGCTAGTCACCTCGCCCCTGTAGCCGACCAGAATAACAAGAACCCGAGCTGCCGAACGAGCCACGATCCATCTACACGGCGTAACGCATCGGTTGTCGAATCTACCCTCAACGAGCTGCCGAACACGAACGAGCCCCGTCCAACGCATCGGTTGCCGAATCTTCCCTCAACGAGCTGCCGAACACGAACGAGGCCCATCCATCTACAAAGCGTAACGCATCGGTTGCCGAATCTACCCTCAACGAGCTGCCCAACCAGTACGAATGTCAATCTGCTCACGAAGACCTGTACAGCTGCTCCCGATTACCTTCAAATCGTCAACAAGTTCCCGATTACTGTCAAATCGTCAACAGAACGCATCGCCCGAACACAATCATCGTAATTCCTGATCGTCGACAATCGACGACCACAAGCTCCCGATTACCTTCTAATCGTCAACAACCCTCATCACCCGAACACAATCATCGTAATTCCTGATCGTCGACAACCGACGACCACAAGTTCCCGATTACCTTCAAATCGTCAACGACCATGAGTTCCCGATTATCGTCAAATCTTCAACAGAACGCATCACCCGAACACAATCATTGTAATTCCTGATCGTCGACAACCGACGACCTCAAGTTCCCGATTACCTTCAAATCGTCAACAAGTTCCCGATTACCGTCAAATCGTCAACAGAACGCATCACCCGAACACAATCATCGTAATTCCTGATCGTCGACAACCGACGAACACCAGTTCCCGATTACCTTCAAATCGTCAACGTAAGCGTCACCCGAACGCAACACCGTAATTCCCGATCTTCCCCACAATCAACCTCCGACGGTCATCCCCTAGTATTCGATCGCCTTCAAGTCGTCGACTAATCACACCTCACATCAACCACCCGAGTACTCATTGTGTACACCCGACATCATCGTTCTCGATTGCCCACGAGTCGTACACCCTCCTGCCTACGATACGAGTAAAACAACGAATTCCCGATCATCAACTAAGCATCAGTACCTTGAAATCACGAACATCTCCGAAGTCCATTTGCCATCCTATATTCCATATTTATCTTATCGTATTTCAACCCGAGTAGATTGTAATTTAGAATTAAAGATCAATAAAACATCCGATTTTTACTCTTATTATTTCATAAGGTTTAGTGGGTCCTTATGGGGACCCTGGATACAGCTGAGCTTACCTCAGCCGACGAGAAAACCACGTTACACTTGGGTCAACTAAATGACTTGTTCAAAATTTCATCTGGACCGGGAAATAAATGTGATGTTTTTACAAAAATGTGTGTTTTTACAAAAATACATGCACCCCACAAGAACGATATTTGGTTCCAGATATCAGATACAGCCCAGAAATGCCTCTGCCAATTCTTAAAATCGGTTCAAATTTGTATATAGCTCCCATATATCTCCCACCGATTTAGGATTAATTGTGCACCAAATGGCTAATATAAGTCCAAATGTTCTATACTTTGGTACATCCCTCCGAATTCAGTCTAGAAGCAAGTACATCAAATATGGTGAAAATCGGTTCAAATAAAGCTATAGCCCCCATATATAAGTTTCATCCGATTTGGGGTTTTGATTCTCTTAAGTGCGTAATATGCACTCCACAAGACTGATATTTGTTACTAGATATATCATAGAGCTCGGAAATACCATCGCCAAATTTTATCGAGATCGGTTCGGATTTTTATACATCTTCGATATGAATCTTGATCCGATTTTACGACTATGGTCCACCATATATGTAATATTAACCCAAATTGGATAGATTTTCTTCATATTCAACCGAATTTTTCCATTTGGTGAAATTAGGTCCGGTATATCTATTGTTGCAATAAATATTTATATGGACCAAAAACTGAAAAAATGTCGGATTTTGCAGTAGCTTTACAGGAACTTCGCATGTAGCTAGAGTTTAGGGCGGGGAAGAAGCCTACCAATTTGGGTGGTCATCGGATAATATTTAGCGGGTAAAATAGACCATATATTTTGTGTTGAAAAAATTCAAAATTTTTCATTAAACCGCGAATATTTTAAATCCCGGCAAAATCACAAAGCCATGACAAGGTTACTTCTGATCTTTACATTGATATTAACATCCAACAAAACGGATATATAGCAAAATATGTGCGATATATATGTCTATCAAAGAAGATATGCTTGAAAGATCTCTTATACGTCGAGAACGGCTGAACTGATTTCGACAGTTCTCATTAATTCAGAATGGCCTCTTGGCAGGAAAGAAACAACTTTTAAAAAATCGCATAAAAATATCTCTCTAAAGATGAAAATATTGATTTTGTAAAATTTTCTCATATTTTGTCATATTTTTGGCATATTTTCATTTTGAATTAAACATTTGACAATATTTCTACAGCTAACAAAACTAAGTAGTTAGGATATCAGGATATCATATATAGATCACATTTATGGCCCGATCCTTACGAAATTTTGCATGGGGATAAGATGAGGGTCAGAATAGAAGCCTAATCTTTTTGGAGATGATCTCCATATATTTAGGGGTTGAAATGGACAAAAAACTGCAAAATTGTCAGCAGGTCGTAATTATCGCCCGATCCTCACGCACATTTGAATGGGGGTTACCGGACATTAAAAAGCCAAGCAGTTTTGGATGGCCATCCAAAAATATTCAATGTGTAAAGGAGTTTGACAACTTTTGTAGACAAAATACGAAAATGTCCATTCCAGTGACTTTTTGGAGAATTCACAAATACAGGAAAGACGCACTTCTGACTATTTCGTTGAAGAATATTGTCAAATGTCTCTATCTCATATAGATGCGTTTCAGTCAAAAAGCAATAATAAATGTTAATCTTTTGCCACTTCTGAGAGATTATAGGTCTTCGGGAAATATTGGTTTCAGATCTAGGAAGGCCATTTAAGTGCAACATCTACCAATAAATTGGAAATGAGCAAATTAGTTTAAGTTGCTATTATTTGAAACCTGATGGTTTTCTTTTATTATTTGTCACAATATCTTGTGGAATTCTTTCGATTTTCTCGCCTATATAAACTGTATCGTTTATTATAGTGTTGTAGGGTATTCAACGGTCGGTCCCGCTCGACTGTAGCCTTTGCTTACTTGTTTTTAAAATGATCTTTATTTTTAATATAATCTTACAGTAATGTTACTTGGTACTAGAGGTACAAACGCCTCCGTCAAATTTGTTGAAAATCGATTCTGAGTTGGATATAGTTCCCAAATTGTGACTACTCTAAAGCCATGGTTCATAGTTGGTATGACCTACTTCACATAAATTCCCAATATATATATATTTTTTTTTTTGTTACGGGAGCTCTACTAAATACGCATAGTGGTGTAGGGTATTATATAGTCGGCCCGACCGACTTTTGACCTTTCCCTACTGTTTTTTTTTTTCTTTTTTTTTTTAATTTTCAATCGGAACGGAAAAAAGTCATCTATGTACCCAGAAGTTCTAAAAATGAGGAAATCTATTCCAATTCCAAAACTACGTTGGTTTTCGTTTCCCATTCCAAACGGTCTTTAATCCCAATTCCCCCTCCAACCCACCATTTCAAGTAAATAAAACACAGTTGTATTTTTTTTTAATTTTATCTGTAAAAAATATTTTATTTCTTTTTTTTTAAAAAAAGTTACGTACTTCTTATGTTCTCTTTTTTTACGGTTGTATCTGGTGGATGTTCAAGCATCTCTTTTTATCTTCTTGTTTTCTGGAAAATGGATGAATGCATTGAAAAAAAAAAAACGTTATAAAAAGTATGGATAAATGTTAAAAAAAAATTATAAAATAAAATATTAAAATAAAACTAATAACTAACAACTACAATTAGACTTAACCTATTAAAATATATGTAAATATATGTATTATTAAAAAGTAAAATGTGTGGAAAACATTGTTCGACAATGTTTGCCTTAAAGTTAAGGGTTTGGGGGGGGAGGATTTTGAAAAGGAAGCTCTTTCTTAGTAGGTGGTAAAGCATAATAATAGTAGATAATATTGTTTAGCAAAGTTTCATTAAAGGCTGTTAGTGAGACACAAACAAACAAAACAAAAGCGTATAAAGCATGCATGGCAGGCTTCGAAAGCTTTCCCATTTTCCTTGATGAAAAGGGGGGGGGGGGGGGGGAATGGAAAATTCCAGTGTTTTTTGGATAACGTTTAACAGAAAAAATATCACATGAAGAGAAAGTTTTCAAGTTTAACGTAACGACAAAACGACAAAAAAAAAAATAATAGTTGTAATACTTACCTTTACATTTTTACATATGTACATTTCTATTTACATATGTATGTAGTTGTGTGTGTGTGCGTCTTATGTTAATAACACGCAATGTAAAATTATGATACTAGCATCATATGAGATTCTTTTCAAAATTCTTAAATTTAAATTAAAATTCGACTTAACCTAAAAACTACGGATCTAAAACTTAGAATTAGTTAAGAAATGCTTTCGTTTACATTGTAAGGGCAGGAAAATTAACCGAAATTCCAAAGTTTAGATAAGCTTTCTTATGGGTTTTACATTTCCAAAGCTTTGAAGCTTTCTCAGCGCCTGGTCGAAAATTATCTGCGATTGTTCAACATCTTCAAATAGTATTCACAGTTTGTACAGTACTGTTGAGGAGCTATGACATGACGTTTGCGACACAAATTGCACTCGGAAGCTTTGGCCGAAGCTTTGACAATGGCATTGTTGTAGACTCGGGTGGGTATGGCAGTTACATTTACATTGCTGTTATCAGTGGTGGTCATTTGCTGTTGGGCGCCAGGTGGTAAGGGCAGGCCATCTTGTTGTAGAAGTTGTTGTTGTTGCTGCATGGGCATGGGCTTGGGTGGCAGGTTGCTGTTCTCACTGGAATCTCCCTTGGTGCCAGGCTCAAAACTCACCTTCTTCGTCTTGACCGGTTGCGCATTTTGGGCGACAATCTGTGAATTAGAAGGCAGGGGCATATAGGAATGGGCATTGGGATGTAGGGCAGGGTTGGCAGGACGATTGAACTGTGGAGATTCACTGTGATGATTGGGATAGCCATGGGGCATGGGAACTCTTTGATAGGGGGAGGGAATGTGTTGGGGTTGCTGCTGCTGTTGCTGTTGTTGTTGAGGTTGTTCTAATCCTGCAATTCCAGGATAATAGTTGGGTGCAACAGGTTGTGTGGCCACCCGGGGAGGCATAGTGTAATTTTGTTGTTGTTGTTGAATGGCCGAATTTTGTTGTTGCTGTTGTGCTTGGTGCTGTTGTTGTTGTTGTTGTGTATGCGTTGCCAACATCTGCATATGTTGCGACGCGGCAACATTTGCGATGCCGCTCATACTGGTGCGTGGTTGCATTGGGTTCTGGGTGGCGGGCATTTCATTGTGGACATGGGACATACTATTGCTTGCAGCCAGTTGTTGTTGCTGTTGTTGCTGCTGCTGCAGGCGATAAATATCCTGAATGGGGGTATACACTTGGCCTGGGGGTAGCTGGGCGGGTTTCTGCATGTGCTGTTGTTGTTGTTGCTGTTGCATTTGCAATTGTTGTAAATGTTGTTGTTGCTGCATTTGTTGTTGTTGCTGTTGTATTTGTTGCTGCTGTAAACGCATAGCCTCCAATTGGGGTCTTTGCAGCTGGACATAGCGCTGCATATCTTGGGCTGCTGTCAGGGCGGCTCTTCGTTCGGCGCCCAACATGGGAGATGGCTGGGCCATTTGCTGTTGTTGCTGCTGCTGGGCCAAAGAATGCACTTGTTGTTGCTGCTGCTGCTGTTGTACTCCACCCCTTGTGGGAGCCTCTGTTTGGAGCCTCATGATATTCTGTTGCTGCTGCTGTATCATCTGTGCGGTCACCTTATCATTGGGACTTTGGGCCGTTCTCAGCACACGCTCCAAAATGGGATTGGGTATGAAGTCATCATCCTCCTCATTGTCGGCTGTGGCCACAAGGATAACCTGGTCACAGAAGGATACACTTTTCTTCTTCACCCGCTTGGGTGGGGCATTATTGAGGCCTGGTTGATTGGCCGTGGCATTGAGGGTCTGTTGAACCATATTGTTGAGCAGCTCCACCTCACGAATCTCCTCGGCAATTTGGGTTTGGGAAATATCATATTTCGGTTTGGGTAATATGGAGGAGATTTGTTGTTGCTGTTGTTGCAGCAATTGTTGTTGCCTTTGCTGCAAAGCCTGGGGAGGCAATGGTGGCCTTTGTGGCAAACAATCTACCTCATCGCTCTCGGGCTTTTGTGGCACGCCATTGAGAGTGGCCCTCATGGGTTGCGACTTGACATTCAAGAGTTCCTGGGAACCAAATGCCCTCATGGGACTTGGCGACTGTTGTTGTTGTTGTTGCTGCTGTTCATAACGCTGGGCAATGGATTGTACATTTGTCAGATCCTGTTGTCGTTGCAACTGCTTCGATTGCAACTCCCGCAGCCAGGAATTCTCCGCATTGTTGCCAAAGGTCGGGGTGTTGCCATGTTCCTTACGCATTTTCATCAAATGCTGCCTCTGCTGAAGCTGGGCCAAAATACTGGTGGTGCCTTCCATTGTTTCAAGATTTCTCTGCTGTTGTTTGTTGGCTGCCTCCAATGCCTGAATTTGATTGATCTGTTGATTTAGGGGTTCCAAATCAATCTCGGGTGGTGGTGGCGGGAAATCTTCACTGGCTTGCCGCGAATGGCTAACACTGTGCGGTGGACTGGGGTAGGGAGGTAATTCCAATGGCGGTGGTGGTGGCGGGAAATCTTGTGAATCTTGTCTTCCATGGGCAGCGATTGGCATTCCACCATCAACCTCGTCGGCTGACATCTGCTCGCTGGCCTTGTAGGATTGCTGATACAAATGTTCCTTGGCCAGGGGACTTTGTTCGTTGTGAACTTGGGCGCAGGTGGTGATTATGGTCTGGCAGGAATCCTCACTTATCGAGGTGTTCGAACTCATCACGGACAGGTTGGATAAGGTGGCCTCGTGGTGGAAATGTTGCATGAGAGCGGCATCCTGTTGCTGTTGTAATGCCAATTGTTGTTGCAGTTGCTGTTGTGTCAATGTGGACGACGTTCGCATTGGTGGTGGTGGCGGTTGCACCTTGGCCACCACGGTCAGTTGTCTGCCACTGCCATGGAAACTCTTACGCATCAGTTTGCTACGCTCCAAATTGGGATTGGCAGTGTTGCCATTGGCTGCACCATTTGCCTCACGGAAATCAAAATGACCCTCCGAAATGTAACCACTCATGGAGTTGGCATGTTGCAGACCGACAACCGAATCATCAACGGAGGCGGTAAGGGGCGGAGGATTGGCGGCGGTTTGTTGATTGTTGGCCACTTCATCACCGGCCTCGGTCAGGTCAGGCATGGAACGATTTTTACGTCTGATCAAACCTCCCATCAGTAACTTACGCCGGATTTTATGTTGTTTCTTGCCATTTTTATCCTTCTCCTTCTTTTCATCTTTATCCTCTTTGTGTTTCTTCAAGGTGTCCTTGGCATTTACCAGCAGCGTTTCGGTCAAAGAGAATTCCCTACTGATTTTATTGCGATCCTCACTGCGGCTACGTTTATCCTTCTCCTGTTTGCTGCGTCCGAAGAGCGAACGACTTTCTCTTTCCGGTTTGGCAGCCACGGGAGAGGGGTCATACTCAATATTATCTGTGTCATTGGAAGCCAAGGAGGCCGTGACCAAAGCTTTCAAGGGACTCTTCTTTTTCGGTAGGGTGGCATAGATTTCAATGGATTTGTTGTTGCTGCTGTTATGGTTACTGCCACCAGCATTCGCCGAGGTGGGAGAATTTGTGACAGCCGTCGTACTACCATCCAATGTTTTATCTTTGCTATTCTGTCGAACATGTTTGATGACACTGCTCGTCGAACCCTCACGCATATGTTTCATCTCAGGCATGGCATCCATTTCGGCTCCCTTTTCCAACAGAATTCGGCGATGCAAGGATCGGGCTCTCATGACACAGGTGTTGTGTTTCATGCGTGCAAAAGTCATGGTGTGTGGATTACTGTAGGGTGCATCCATAGCGGCGCGAGCCCTACCGGCAGCAGCATTGCACAAAACCAAAGCCGTCTCCAAATCATGAGATTCCTCCAGCAAACGAGATTTTTCCAAAAGCTGATCGGCTTCGTGGCACAATTTTTCACAATCACCCGTCAGCACCACGGATGGTGAGGATTCGGGGATTTTGGCCAGCTGGGGATTCAACGGGTGTTTTGGTGGATATGAATCTGTTGAACTCAAAGAAAATGAATCATAGCCCGGATCATAGGGCAGACCATTACGTGTAGGACTCTGAGGCACTGCGGCGGCCGAACGTTTACCCACCATATACAAATAGGGATTATCCAAGGTTGTGGATGATGCAGAACTGGCTGAATTACGATCCCCAGACCAGTTGCCCGAATCACGTCGACGTGGTTGATTCAAATGTTCCGGTATGGTCAAACCATCACTGGGTGGTGATGAACTGTTCGTTGACGAAGTGGTGGATGATGCCGACGAACCTCCACCTGAAACATGGCCCGATTCAGCACTATGTGATCGCTGTAGCTGCAAATGCTGCTGATGTTTACGTGCCAATTGTGAATTCAATACGGCCTCCAAGGATTTACGCTGTTGATAGTTGTTCAGCGCATTGATATCCTTTTCGTCCTGGGGAAAGATTTTATCCTGGATAATACTCAGATTTTGATATTGGGCACTGAGTACATGTTCAACTGTCTTGCGACTTATATAGGCATCTGTCTCATCGGAGTTAAGGTGGGCCGAAGGATCTGAGGGATGCTGTCCCGGCTGTTGTTGTTGATGCTGTTGCTGCTGCTGTCCTGGTGGGAATATATTTTTCTGTATAACACTTAGATTCTGATAGTCATTGGGCATGCGCAATGGGGTGGGTGTAATGGCACGTCTGGTATTGCCCATCTGAGGTTTCTCGGGGCTTGGAGTAATGGCTCGTCGTACAGCTGGCGATTGAGAATTGTTGGCCAATTCATGCATGTATTGGGCTGATGTCATCTGGCCATTGGCCATGGGGGTATTATTGCTTTGTGGCACCGTTTGTGGTTGGGGCACAGCGTAGAGTAGCAACAAAGGTTGATAGCGACCACGGCTGCATTTGTCTACCACACCTTCCCAGTGGGGGCCAACCTGAAAGGGAAAAGAAGGGAGAAATTAGATGAAGAGACTATTCGAAGTGTAAAAAAAGAGGAATATATTTCATCACAACCAAAATCACCAAAATATATTAAATTAAAAGTGTTATACAAATATTTGAATGTTGCAGTAAACTGTTATACAAGATCTTTTTTTTGTTATAAAACTGTCTTTTAACCTTTTTTAAGTTGGAAAATTTTTGATACAGTCAAAAATGATGCATGTAAAAGTGTTATACAAACATTTGAGTCTTCTTGAAAACTGTTATACAAAAATTTTTAATTGTATAAAACTATATTTTAACCTATTTTAAGTTCGAAAATGTTTGATGCATCAAAAAATGACTCATTTAAAAGTGTTATATAAACATTTGAATGTTGTAGGAAACTGTTATACAAGATTTTTTATTTTATAAAATAGTCTTTTAACCTTTTTAAAGTTCGACAAATTTTTGATACAAAGAAAAATGACTTGTGTAACAGTGTTATACAAACATTTGAATGTTGCACAAAACTGTTATACACGATTTTTTTATTTTTTAATACTGTCTTTTAACCTTTTTTAAGTTGGAAAATTTTATTTTTTGTAAAAAATGACTCATGTAAAAGTGTCATACAAAAATTTTGAAGTGTTGGAAAACTGTTATACAGCATAGCTTATGAGCGGTAAAGTACTATATGATATTTTTTTTTATAAATAGGACTTCTTAAGCAAGGAAACTCTCTCTTGAGTCGTATAACACATATGCTACAACGACAAGTGTTATACAAAATAGCTTTTTTATTGAGAACTGTTATACAAGGCATTGTGTGGTCAGAAAAAAATGTATGTTAACTTTAAGTTTATTCGAAAATGTTTTATACAATGAAATTTGGTTTATGCAAAAGTGTTATACGAAGAATGCAATGCAGGAAAACTGTTATACAGCAATTGTTTTAACAGGCAAAATTTAAATAACTTTTTTTCTAGACATTTCTGAAAGGCAACAAACTCGTGAGTCGTATAACACATATTGTGAAGACACAAGTGTTATACAAAACATTTTTTTTGTACTGAGAACTGTTATACAAAACATTATTTTGACCGAAAAAACGCAAGCTAACATGTTTTAAGTTCGACATTCTTCTTATCAATAAAATGTGGCTCAAGTTTAAGTGTTATACAAAAAATTAAAATCAGGAAAACTGTTATACAGCAGTAATTTTTAAAACGAAAGACATATATGTATGTCTCGTTTTTTAGGCTTTAATGAAAGGAAACATATTCGTGAGTTGTATAACACACATGATAAGGGGACAAGTGTTATAAACATAGTTGAAAACTGTTATACAAAATATAATATGGGCAGAATAAATGTAAGTTATCTTGTTTTATGTTCGAAATTTTGCCATAAAAAGAAAAACGGTTCATGTTAAAGTGTTATACACAAAAATGTAATGCAGGAAAACTGTTATACAGGAATGTTTTTAAAAGAAAAAATATTGTATAACAACTTTTCTATGCGAAGCATAGTATCTTGTATTATAAGGTGAAAAAGTAATCATGTGAAAGTGTTATACAAAATCATAGGAGATTATTATTATTATTTAAGTATCCTACATTACTATATATAAAAAATCTTTGTATGAAACAAGACATTTATGTGAGGGAAAATATTATTTAATGTACTTTCAGTTGGCTAAACTGTTATACAGATAAATTGGTAGATTTCTTTTGTGTGACTAATATTTTTTTTTTTAAATTTCTTAATTTTTTGGAATTTTGAATATCAAAAAATATTAGGGAAACTTACCTCTTTAACATTGGCATCATCGAAATACACCCAAACCTTAAGTTTGGTATGGAAGAAGAATGTGGTATAATGTTTGCCATAATACGATACAATGCCAACCAATTCATGTTGAACACCCTGGGCCCATCTTTGTTCGGTGACCTGATGGAAAACATCAGATAAACGTAGACTTGTACCGATGGCCTTCAACACCGAATGGACCTGATCGGCAGCTGGCCTCTCAGAGTCCCAAACAATGCCAATGGACACAACATCGGGACGATTCAAGAGGGCACGACAAATGCCAATTTTGGCACCACAGGAACTCTGTTAAAGAAAAATTGAAAAATTAGGAAAAAGATTTAAGGAATTATTTTGAGTGTTGTACTGACCGGACAATCACGAATATCACCCATATTGCCGGCCGCCCTCAGCAGCTGGCCAAAAGTCAATTGCTGATGATTCTGCAAAGCCAGGGAATTTTGTGAGGTCAATGCCGAGGCAGAGACATAATGGACCATCTGCCAAAAAAAAGAACGAAAGAGAAAAAAAAACATTAGTTACTAATTAATGAATGAAATCAAAAATTGTGTGTGGGCGGCATTCATTGACGGCCGGCCAATGGCCACTGAAACCGAAAATTTTTATCAAGTGTTTATGATGACCATTTTTGGTTACCCTCTCAAAAAATTCTTAATTTTTAAAAGGTAATTTAATCAGAGCGCACCACCAAAAAAGAAGGGAAAAAAACCTCGTTTACATTCACAAAATTATTTGATTTAAACGCCGGAAATTTCAAACACCCACACTTTAGACACTTGGCCGCCGCCACACACATAGCGTCTGTTGGTGACAACAAAGCACGTGTTATATTAGAATACAATTAAGTATGAAAATCAATAAACTACTGTTTAGCACAGTGGGTTGCATTATTTATGGCCATTATGTGTGTGTGTGTGTGTGTGAGAGCTCAAGAAAAGAAGCCTAAATTAATTAAAAACTGAATACAAAAAAAGACTGGTTTGCCGTTTTGTAGTAAAACCCATTCATTATGACTTATTAATCACACATAAATGGCGGGGCGAGTATTATGTAAATTTCTAAATGCAATACCTAATTTGGGACTCGAAGCCAATCAGAAAAAAAAAAAATAAATAAACGAGAATAACGTCATCAGCCAACAACATTTTGAATGATAGTTGCAATAATTACCTCACCCTCTATGGCTAAAGATTGAAGCCTTCAATAGTTTTACTTTCAATCGATAACGTACAAGCGGAACAACATGTAGGTATGTTATGTGGTTGTTGTTGCTGCTTTTTTTGAGCAATCGAAATCTGCACAACAGTCTCCACCTTTCATTGTTCCCTGCTACCAAACCGCTCTACACCACCCATATTTTGTTGTTTGTAATAAATCACGTTTGTTTCCTAAGTCTTTTGTTCTTTGACCACCATATTTGGCCAAATGTTTGATTGCCCATAACAGAAACAAAAAAAAAAAAACAACTGAATCACATTGATATTAATTTTTATTATGGCAATTTTGCTTTATTTTATTTGACAATTATGGTTTGTTTGCCAATATTATATCGTTTGACGAGGTGAGTGGCTTCGTTGGATTGTCGCCCCTCGATATTTTTAATGAAATGCCTATTTTTATGAACTTTCCTATTAAGGCTTTATTTGGCCAAAGAATGGTGGCATTAGTTTTCAATAATTGTTATTAAAAATAGTTTATTTTTTGTTATGGTTTTTTCATTAATGAAAGGTCTCTTGTGTTCGGGAAAGGCATTTCTAAAAGTTTATTTATTTATTATTATTATTATTATTTTTTTTTTTTTGAGAGAGCAACTCCCATTATTTTTCTTTATGAGTTGTGAGGGTTTTGAAATTTCTATTTTCGATTTCTTCAGACCTATTTCTTTTAAAATGAAAACAAAAAGAAAAGTGGGACAAAATATCGTTAGAGGGGGGTCTTGACCATTTATATTAAGGTGAATGCAAATTTCGGTTTTAAATTTGCCTACATTAACACAATGAAAATATTTTGGGGTCCAATTCGTATTATGTTTGCAAATGTTAATTGGAGTCAAAATATGTATAGTTAAATATAGCAGCTGTAGGTGTATGAGGAATTGAACACAAAAAATGAATCAAAAATTTCTAAAAAGGGGTCTAATTTTACTAAGAATTGCAAGGGCTTCAAAGAAAATACATTTTTTTAATTAAAGTATTTTTACGAATTTTTATCATTTTCAAGCAAGAATTAATTAACAAAAAGTAGATCCTACAGACAAAACAGAACAAAAAGCAGACTATATGATACCCTTCAAAAGAATTTATTTGAAGTAGATTATACCAACTATAAATGTTTGGCTTTAGAGCAGTTATAGTTTGGTTTGAGAGGGAACTTATTTTTTTTTTTTGTGGGGGGGGGGGGGGTTTGCATGTCCTATTCTGAATCGATTTTCACTAAATTTGACGGAGACATTTTAATCTTTTATGCCAAATAACATTGCTATAGAGTGCATGATATCACTTCGAGAAGACGAGTTCCACAAAATGGAAACGTGCGTACCGAAATTCACTCCATTTGGGCTGATATTAGCCATTATTTGCACAATAAACCTGAAATCGGATTAAGGATATATAATGGAGCTAAATCCAAATCTTAGCCGTTCTCCATAAAATTTGACAAAGGTATTTCCCAGCTCTATAAGATATCGGTTGTACCGAAATCGGATGAGCCGAAATCGGATGAACCGAAATCGGTTGAAGATATATATGGGAGCCATGTCCAAATCTGATCCAATCTTGATAAATTTTGGCAGAGGTGTCTCCGAGCTCTATAAGACATCTGGTACCAAATATCATTGTTGTCGAATGCATATTACGAATGTGAGGGATTTAAACATCAAATCGGATGTAACATATATATAGGAGCTATAGCTATGTATATCTGTACCGCTTTTCACCAAATTTAATGTACTTGCTTCTAGGCTGAATTCGGTCGGAAGTGCCACAATTCACTCCATTTGGGCTGATATTAGCCATTTGGTGCACAATTAACCTTAAATCGGTACCAAATATCATTTTTGTGGAGGGCATATTACGCATGAGAGGGACTTAAAACCTCAAATCGGATAAAACATATTATGGGAGCATCAGCTTTATCTGAACCGCTTTTTACAATTACATCAAGTATTTGCTTCTAGACTGAATTCGGTCGGATGTGCCAAAATTCAGATAATTTAGACTGATATTGGCCATTTGGTGTACAATTAACCCGAAATCAATTGAAGATATATATGGGAGCTATATCTTTTGAACCGATTCCCACTTATTTCAATAGGGTTCGTCCTAGGGCCAATCCAATATTGTTGGGAAAATTTCCTCTCAATCGGATAGTAAATGCGACCTGCAAATTTTTCACAAAAATACATCATATGTCCATGACTGACATGCATAAATCGACTCAGAAAGTGATTCTATGAAGATCCTTAAGAGTAGCTATGGGTCCATCTTGAACTTGAAGAAAATCGGCCATAACTCCTTAAATATTGAGTTTTCGGAGCTTTTAGCTATTATTTGTGATCAGTTATTTACGCATGAATTATCGAAAACTTTAAAATGGCCATAACTCCTTAAATATTGAGTTTTCGGCGTTTTTAGCTATTATTTGTGATCACGTTTTTGTGAATTATGTGAATTATGTTTTTTATGGTCTTTCAAAATTAAAACCAGTTCCAGGAGGAGGTACCAGAAGCAGTGGACCGATATGTCCTATTTTTGCACCAGATCTTCTGTTATGAAAAATATTAAGATGTGACAAGTTTGAAAAGAATCTGATGACCATTTCATGACGAAATGTCAAAATGTTGACCCTTTATGTGGGAGACAGACTAAAGGACGGATACTCATAAATCAGCTAAAAATGTCTTGAAACGGATTTGCTCCAAAGAGGCCGATATTTCAATAAGGCACATTTTGGCCAATCAAGTGATATATACCCTCCGTAGTTCTATGGCTGATGGCATAATTATCCTCATGTATAAATGATGACAAAGTTTTTGTCTTAAGTCTTTTGTTTGCACAGCATCTTACCAAAGCATAAACTCACCATTTGTTTCGAAAGTGTTTACCTTATCTTTAATTAAAAAATAGCAAAACAAACATTTTACCAAACTAAACACAAAGTTCGATTGCTCTTAAAAACGAAATCAATATTTGTTTAGCTTTTTTCAAGCGACTCTCACCCACGCGCATCGAGTCTGTCGATAACCACAAAAATAAATTTTGCAAAATAAACAAAAAAGCTTATGTGGTATTTGCTATTTTAATTTTTTGCCCATGTCCATGTGTTCTTGACATTACAATCGAATTACATTTCAAGTTTAGAAGTCGTTTTGACTGTAAATTTTAATTGAAACTTGTTTCTAGAGATCGACCGAAATCTTATGAGTGAGAAATTTACTATTAAAATGTTGTTGCAAGCAGTATTGCCGTTTTCAAGTTATTGCAATATTTCACTTTAAGAGTTTTGAAAAAAAAAAAACAATTAGAGTTCATGGAAACGTTATAAAGCTTAGTGGTAGTTTCTTATAATAAATATTTAAAATGTTTCAGTTCAGTGTTATAAAGGGGTTTCAAAGGTTATATCCAAAGGAAGCTTCGTCAAGCAAGGCAGCTCTTAGGACTACTACTCTATTCCAAAGACAAGAAAACTATGAACGTTGGACAAAATGCTTATGACGGTTTAATTTTACTTTTAGGCAATACATTGCCGACTTCATTAGAACCATTGCAGAAATAAGTTATTATGAAATCGCCAAAAAAAAGAAATGGCGGAGATGATAGATATGAACTCATAAATCCATTTCAGAGCTTTTCCTTGTACATTGAATCGAAAAAGATTTAAAAACGTTAGGTCTCTTAGGGTACACCATTATGCCAATGTCTTTATGTGGCGGCATAACATATTTTTCTACTACCAACGCCATCTAAAGAATCAATGCAACAAACAAATGCCCCATCTTTTTATGTTATATGTCTCTGTCTATTCTCTAATAAGCCCACAACGGCAACCCTTTTTGAGAAAAAACTGAAAAAAACATTAAGTTCTGCCGTGCCGAACTTTTAATACCTTCCACCTTAGGGTAAAGGAAACAAACCAGGAACCCATTACGACCCACATATACCAATTTTTAGACATATTCGTGGGAAAGTTTGGCAAAAATCATCAAAATATCGAATGTCGGGAGGTATCGCTATATGGGACTATACAAAAATGTGAATCTATACATACAATGTTTCGCCAACGGAGCTAGAACCCATTAGGACACACAAATACCAATTTTTAGACAAATCCTCGAAGAAATGTGGCAAAAATCATCAAAATACCGAATATCTAGAGGTACCATTATATGGGAGCTATACCAAAACGTGGACCTCTACATGCTATCTTTCGCCATCGGAGCTAGGACCCATTATGACCTACAAATACCAATTTCCAGACAAAT